TAGTATGTAGTATGTAGTATGTAGTATGTAGTATGTAGTATGTAGTAGTATGTAGTAGTATGTAGTATGTAGTAGTATGTAGTAGTAGTGGTAGTAGTAGTAGTAGTCGTAGTCGTAGTGGTAGTGGTAGTCGTAGTCGTAGTGGTAGTGGCAGTGGTAGTGGTCGTGGTGGTGGTGGTGGTGGTGGCCGTGGTGGCCGTGGTGGTGGTGGCCGTGGTGGTGGTGGTCGTGGTGGTATGAAACTTCAAACCAAGTTGAACAAGTTGTCAAACCCCAAGAAAAACAAAATGCAAAACTTGGTACACTTCTCGAACCCTCGTCGGTGTCGGCACGCGACGTCTTCTCACCGCCCAGCTTCCCGGTGCGCGACACTTTTGTCGCGCTTGAGCCATGCCACGATGGCATGTCGAAGTCTCGAATGCGTGTCATCCCTTGTGCAGGGGTCCATGCTCCTCTCTGGTTGGGATGTGGTACACACTCGATTTGTGCACTCGGGGCACATGACGAGTCGGCCAAAAGTGGATTCGTGAATCCACAGCCTGCGGACAAAAGTGCACCAGGCGTCAAGGTGGAGGCTGCCAACACGGGTTGGCTGCCCAGGCGGGTAGGCTTAGGAAACTACCACAGTAACAAGGCAATAACCGGTGCATTTCAAGTGAATATGCCTTATATGTGTCTATAGATACACGAGCAAATGCAAGAACCCTTTGGTTGTCAAGAGGTCCATTCAGGTGTCAACTATTCACACCCCCCCTCAACCAAAGGTGGGACTTGCACTTTGTGGATAGCAATCATCAAGACATCTCTCGGCACATTCAGTTCATATTCTCCCAAACCCGGTGTTGTGATCACGGTTTCGGCACATCCGAACTATGGCTCTTCCGAAAAGACCTGCACTATGCTTTTTCGAGAGCTATTCCAGTGTATGTTGTAAACGGATGTGTGATGAACTGTGTCATGAAAACCTGTGCACAAAAACGCTGAAATGTCATGCATTGAAACCTTACTCCGCAAGTCGAGTATTCGATACAAGCATTGAATTTTCTTCTGAGTGCATGTCTGCCTCTTTGGCTTGAAACACCGTGCATTTATCAATTTGTGAGGAGATCCAAGCATCACATTTCGCCAAGCTTAAAGATATACAATGAAAATGTTCGACGCGAGAGAAGGTTATTTTTCTTTTTTTGGGGTCAAATCTCAAAGCTTCAAGCTCTTCTTTTAACCAAATCCTTCAAGTCTTGGGCTATGGGATGACGATGCACTGCCGGCAAGGCTTCAAAATCTTGTCGCACCTTGGGATGCAAGAAGGTCGACTATGTTCGCCAACGATGTGGAGATGAGATGGAAATTCAAAACTGAATCCATCTCGTGTCTCCTGAGACAAAAAACCTGCCGGCATACAAGTCTGGCACAACGAGGGCAAAATCACTTGATGCTCCCCGTGATGTTTGAGCGTCCGGCATGACTCACGATGCACACGCTCTCCTGCCTTCCTCGTGATCTTGTAGCGAAATTCAGGTAGTTCCTGAGCATCTGGCGGGGAATGCGAAGGAGGGTGCGGTTCTGGCGGCGAATCACTCGGTGGGATCGGTGACGAAGGTGAAGGCTCTGCTTTGACTTCTTCCCAATCCCCTTCACTCAGAGAATCATCATGATCCATCTGGCCATCCTTCGAGTGCTCTCCATCAACCTGGCTCTTGGATTTCCCTTTTGAACCTCCTTTGGCCCGAACATCTGTCGAGGTCCCTGCTCCCGAATCCTCAGCCACCTGCCCAGGGCTCACGGTCACATGAACTTCCGTGTCACTTGGTGCATCCACTGTGATCGTGATCTTGGACTTTGGGGCCATGGCTTCAAGAACACCTGCAAAGATTTGAATTGTATCCAATTTATGGAATTTAGCGACTGCAACCTATTGGCACTCAATGCACAATGGTGATGTGAAAAGCTCGAATCAAATGAGATCTTGTTCCCAACTGAGTCAAGCTCGAAATAAACACTATGTGGATTTCTTCGTTCTGTCGTGCTCGAGTCGATCCACGCGATCCCACTTGCTACAAATGGCAATGTACATCGACTGGATCAATTGAGTCACAACAGATGCAAAAACAAAAGACGATCGTTCAGCTGAATTCATTCACTCTATGCTTCAAAGCCTTTCGTGATGAACCATTTCACTACATCAATTGCCAGGTCCTTTGGATATTCACCTAGCTTTGACAGATGTTGGCCGTTTAACGACATGTGGCTCTCACAATGACAGATCTTCGGCTGAAACATGGGCATGGAACATGCGAATCGATATCGATGCAAAGCCGGCGCTTTCTCAACGTCATTCACATAGGCACATCGTGCTACGTCCAAGATGGACTCCAATCCATGGAACCGGCAGAACGACTGAACCAGCTCCTCACGCCAGTATGAGCACCTCTGACTCATCTCAAGAACCCTTACATCACAAATCTTCAAGATTGGGTGGCATTCACCAAGGATTCTTTCAAGTGCTTCTAGGTGCCCCTTCTGGAGTTCACTTCGCTTTGGCTGGGGAATCAAATTAAGGACCGGTGATCCTCCTGTGCACGGAGGGGAAGACCATCCGAGAACCAATGCTTTGGGGTGAGTCCCATTCATTTGAACAAGCCATGAACGCAAAAGCTTGCCAACACGGAAAAGATCAATGTCCTGAGTGACAGGAATCACAACACAACACTTGGTGTTGAAATCATTGGCTCCCTGTGACAATCCTGCATGGAAGGTGGTGCACAGTTCAACGATGATATGCGTCACGATCCCGGCTTTCACCTGCATCCCCACAAAACTCAAAAAGCTCTTGAAGTCATCGAGACCTCCAGCAGACAAACTTTTCTTTGCCTCAAAAACTGAAAGGTCTCCTGCACGCGGATCGTCATCTTGGACTTCGGCAGTCTGCGCGTCAGACTTTCGAGATTGATTCTTCCTATCTCTAGTTGTGATCACTTGCCATTCTTCTTGTCCTAGGACCTCAACGATTCCAAGCTGACTACGATGATAGTTGTTTGCTTCAATGGGCAATACCTTGGTAAGGAGATCAGCAGTGCACTTAGTGCCTGGCAGCCATTCCAAAACAAGATGTCCACAATCTCTCAAAGCTTGGATGTAACGTACTGAGATCGACATGTGGCGAACTCGCCTACTCAGTCCCTGGTTGCTCAAAGCACCGATGCAAGCTTGTGAATCCGTGAAGATCACTATGGGGTGATGGTCACCAAGGTTGCCACTTTCATCAAACCTCAACTCAAGATACTCTTTACTGGTGAGTCGCAACAACATGTTTCTGTCCCCAAAGCTTTCCAAAAATTCTGTGACATGTCGGATTCCCAAACACTCTTGAGCAAGTTGGCATACTGCTATGATCTCTGCTTCGCAAGAGGAAAGTGTAATGCACCCTTGGAGCCGACTATATCCCTTCACAAGAGATCCCTGCCAGAACACCAACCCACCGCTCGTCGAGCGCCGTTTCTCGAGGTCGCTCGAACCCCAAGGCCATCAAGTTCAGGCAGCACAACATTCCCTGAAGGAAATTTCTGGAAAAGGTGCAAATGACTCCTGACGTACCGAAGGTACCTTCTCAGGGCATGCTCGTGCAAATTGCTAGGCGTCGCCTGTCCTGTGGCCAGAATGGACAGGAATCTGGCTTGATCAGGCCTGGACTGTGCCCACCACGATAGTTTGCCAATGATCCTCTTGTACCTCGAAGATGCCTCTTCCGTCAAAAGCTCGATGGAACTTGGGTCCTTTATTCCCTTTTCGAGAATACTCAACAAATCTGGTGGCACATCGGAGGACCGAAGCTCGCAACAGAAAGGATCATTGACAAATAAGTCTGCTAAATAGCTAGGTGGCACTCGAAGCAAGATGTCTTGTGACCCGGCGGGACGGATGATGTGACGCCCTAAGAAGATAATTGTCCCTCTGGCTCCATTTGACTTCGTGATGGTACCAGTCACCCTTACCTTCAGGGTTTCTTGAAGGGCTCCCCTGACGTCAGCAATTCCACTCTTGGAGACCGAACCAACCAATAGGTCATCAACATATATCATCACTATTACTGGAGCATTTGAAGGACACGACAGGGCACGAGATTCACCTTGTCAGTGAGGATCCTTGTGCATGACTGCAGCCAGCTCTTGCTTGCTACTCGGAGTCCGTTCATCGATTTGTATAGATCGAGATACACTCCCTCGTAGTGTGTGCTTTCAAATGAACAGTCAGATGGAAGCTTCACGATTGCTCGGACTCCAGCTGGTAGCTCGCTGTTCAAAAAAGCTGTGGAAATATCAAGTCCCTCCAAATGCATGTCGTGGTGCTGGATCATATGCTCAAGAAACAACGAAAGGTTTCGACGCTGGGCGTCGTGCTCGAAATACCCAGGCTCTGGGCTGAAGCACTTCCACTAGCGATCTCTTGAGCAACGCAACGTGCCCGGCATTGCCCAGACATGCCTTCCACCGTTTTGGCTGTCAGGACCCAACGGCGTGGTATGATTCGGATCCCGAGTTCTTTGGCAAGACTTTGGGCTTGCGGCATTCGAAGTGGCTGTCCAACCTGAAGACTATTCATCGCCTGGAGTTCAATCAACCTTCCAGCCTTCACTTTTCCCGAGTCAAATCTAGTCAACCCATC